GTGGGGGTCCCCACTGGGGTGCCTGGCCAGTCTGGGTGAGGGGCTGAGGGCCCTTTTCAGGCTGGCGGGGGACTGAAGCTCCCAACCTCTCCTTTTTTCCTTTTTTTTTAAATTCTGGGATTTATTTACCTTCTATGGCTGTCACTGGACCTGAGAGCCGGCTTTAGCTGTGAGACCTTAGCTGCTGAAAGCAGGTTTCTGGGCTTTGCTCACCTTCTGTATTTGAAAATTTGTTGCGACTCCAGCTCTGAGAGGCAGAAAGCAGAGTGAAACAGTTGTGGGCTGATGGGCACCAAAGACTGATGGCCACCTAGGAAGCCAGGAAGAGGCATGGCAGGGTTCTGCCCAGTTTCAGAGGGAGCATGGCCATGCTGGCACCTTGCTTTCATACTTCTGGCCTCCAGACTTGTGAGAGAACACATTTTTGATGTTGTAAGCCACTGCATTTGTGGTGCTTTGTGATGGCAGCTCTAGGAAGCAAATACAGTGCTCTTCATCCTTTCTCCGTTTTTCCCAGGTTTATGTTTCCTCTTCTGCCACGTAGAAAGCTGTTTGAGGGGAGGGACTGGACTTTACTCATGTTCACATCCCTTGAACAGCTTAGCAGTGCTTGGCCAGGACTCACAGAGCATTTGTTGAATTGAAGTAATTGCAGGCTTCCACAGAAATAATATAGCTTATTATTTGTTATTATAAATTCCCTATAATTTCTGTCAGCTATTGACATTAATTGTCATTGAGAAAATAGAAGAGGTGCCTCCTAGTTGCCAAGAAATGTTTGGACAGAATGTGGGAATAAATACTGATAGGGAAACTCAAGAGCTTATTTAAAATTTTTAAAAATAAATCTTTATTGTTGAAAGTATTACATATGTCTTTTTAAAAATATTATTCTAAGAACAGCAACTAATATTCACCAACAGCTCACTCAGGGTTGTACATGGTCAGTATACATTCTTTCACTTAATCCTCATAATGTCATGATGAGGTAGACCTTATTTTTGGACCCAATTTACTGATGAACAAACATTGAAGTTTTGCCCTAACCGGTTTGGCTTAGTGGCTAGAGCTTCGGCCCATGGGTTTGATTCCAATCAAGGGTACCTACCTCGGCTGCAGGCTCAATTCTGGCCCCCATTGGGGGCAGGAGCAGGAATCAACCAATCAATGTGTCTCTCACATGGATGTTTCTCTCTCTCTCTGTCTCTCCCCCTCCCTTCCACTATCTCTAAAAATCAATGGAAAAATATCCTCGATTGAGGAGTAACAACAATAACAATAACAAGAGCACAAAAAACATTGAAGTTTCGAAGCTGTGAAAAGCAGAGCTCAGAGTCACACTTGGGCAGTATGGCCGCTAGACTATTGTGAAATGCAAACACTGATCTTTCCTTTCCACAGAACTGAAAACTCTTAACTTTTTGTTTATGGATGAGAATGTGTTTAGGTTACTCTCCATATACATATGTATGTGAGTGCTGAATATCTATTCATTCTATAGTATATTTGTTACTTCTGTGTATATCAAATCAATTTACTGAGGCATAGAGCTTACGAGCCAGGTTTTCCTAAGCTGTTGTCCTACTTTGAAATAGCTTTCTTCCTCTGTGAAGCCACAGGTTTTATATTTGAGTGAGGGGGTTTCCATCTCTGGGCTGCAGAGCTAACAAGAGGCGCATCTCAAGAATGGTGAGTCCCCTGCCACTAGAGCACTTGGCTACAGTTTTGCTTGTGTGCTTTTGTGGGATGACCTTTTGTTTGAAGGAAGGGTTCTCTAGTAAAAGAAAGGTTAGAGTCCCTGAATTTAGATCATTTTAGTTTACACATGAGGACAGATAAAAAAAAACACCAAAAAAACTTCTTCATTTGTTTATATTAGGCAAAGTCCCAGAAAGATCCATAGCAAAGTTATTAGAAAAAAGAACAACGAAGCCAACTTCTCAGACTCTGGACATAATTGGATTTTAGGGAGGCATGATCCATGTGTGACCTTTATCCAGAAATTCATCTCTCTGCTATATGTGATATGTTACATCTTTTCAGGGATGCTTCATCATGGCTTAATGACATATCCTTATTGGGAAAATGCAATGGCTTTTGCTATTTTTTATTTCAATAGAACCCTATAGAAGCTTGATTAAAAGAAACAACAACACAAAAGACCTCTGTAACACTGGAAAGATGGTGCAATGTAACATGCCTGCCAGTTGCCTCTGGTCCTAATAAAGAATTAGGCTCTGTCCCAAATCTAGAAAAGCACTTTGTAGCCCATAGTTTCAAAATATTCCATCAATCATATATATTTTAGCAATAGGGAAGAAAACCTATTCATGTAACCTAGTAAAGGATTCTCATCCTAGCTTCATCTTAGTGCTTTCTGGATAGATGCTTTACTCTGAATTCTTAAATGAATTTTTGACCTGAAGGATGCCACAGATGAAGGTCATATTGACATGATTGTAGAGTTAAGATGAGCCAGGGCTCGAGAGTTATGCTGTTCTATGTGATCTTGAAAAGTTACTTGATTTTATGAGTCTTGATTTCTCATTTACACCATGGGTATAGTAGCTCTTTCATAATGTTAACGATTATGTAAAATGTATGTGAGCAAAACAAAATTACTTTCTGGTTGTACACTATTTCATGAAAATAGCTATATGGTTTTCATCTAATTTGGTGGGGTTGTCTGAAATAGGCTCAGTAGCACAGAGGACATTTACATGGGGGCAGGGTAAAGGGACACCTCAAGTGGGTAGGCTGTCATTTTTCAAAGTAGCTGAACCAGAGGGAGGAAGTGAGGCCACATGGCCGTTGGTCATGCACTTGAAGTCTCCCGAGGTGTTCAGCATCCCAAGGGCAGACACTGAAAGGCAGTGCTGATCTGGAATCAAGCTACTTCTCACAGCAGAATCTCTTACGTACCTTGAGTAAGAATCTGGGTAGCAGTTAGAATGTGCCTATTAGTTATGAGTAGTTCTCTTCAATGACAGAATAGACTATTAGAAACCTAGTTAGACAATTCAGCATAGAGCTTGGCACATAAGTAGATCCCTGGTGAACATTCTCAAGTCCACTCCATCTTTATTCCTGCCATCTTCCACCCCCACTGAGAGCATGGAGAGAAGTCATTATTATGTTTCAATTGGTATGAATCATATTTATTCATAGTGACTAGTTATTTTTGTGGAGTTACAACTAGCCCAACAGCAATGATGGCCTAGTATTTTAGAGACACTAAGGATATTTGGGGCGGGGGGATCGGGGGGGAGAGGAAATCATTCTTGAGCAAGCCAGTATTTTTCTCTCACAAATGTCAGAATAGTAAACTGCATGTTGGTTTACTGGCTGCTTCTAAAATTTTTTTAAGTGTTGCAAAAGAACTTTGGTTAATAGTAAAGAGCATATTTCTGGATTTGCAACATTGGTTTTAGTTTGGGCCTCCCAAAATTGAAATAACACTTTTCTATTGGAAGCTAATTATAGAACTATTGATACTTTATATTTAACTATTTTCTATGCTGAAGAGATAAACTAGTTTTGTTCTTGCAGGTTATGGTTTTGCTTTTGATTGTGAGGTAGCACCATAAAAAGTCAGTCTAGAGATAAAAGCTGCACTTCCTAAAACCAGGTGTGAAAAATTTTAAGTACTATTTGTCTTAGGTTTTTCACTTAACTTAGTCTTTGAAGTCGGCAGCTTCAACTTACTATTAACAGAGAATGTTTTCTTGTGAGGAGCAACTGATAGGATAGCAACTTTTCTTCTGCATTACAGTAAAAAATTGCTCACCTAAACATATAGCCAGTTTTTCAAATATGCACAAATGTGGGAAAGTACTTTTACCCTTGGAAATCCTGATGACATAGTTTAAAAATACAAGTTCCTTTATTTCTTTATTTCTATATGCCTGATCTGTTGAATGTTCGTGTTTTCTACTCTCCTTAGGGATATCAAAACCACTCACAAGGCCTGAAGCTTTACACCTGCCGTGGAGAAAACCTTCTTCTCCCCCCCACCCAGGAGGCAAGTCCTGCCAACCCTTGCATGACAAGGCACGTTCCCACCCCAAAACTAATACCACCTTCCTTGAGAAATACCAGGGCCCCAAGGGGCTGAGGAAGAAGAAGTCTGAGAAGGTGCATTCTCTTTGTTGAACACCTTCCCTCAGGTAGATGCTCAGCTCTTGTTCTCTCCTTGGTCCACCTGGCTAGGATGTCTACACAGAACAGGACTCCCCATTCTGACTCGTTCTGCAGCCTCAGGCCTAAGCCGTGTTGTCTGATCAGGCTCTTGTGGGAAGCCTGTCATCTGGATTATTGGGCACTTCCTTGTTTGTTAATGAAACTGATAGATATTTTTCCTTTTTGATGAATTTATTGAACTGACACTGATTACATTATATAGATTTTAGGTGCAAATTCTACAACACTTTGTCTGTACACTGTATTGTGTGTTCACCACCTCAAGTCAAGTCTCCGTCCATCACCGTTTATCCCCCATACCCTCCTCCACCTCCCTTCACTCCCTCCTCCCGCCCGCCGCCTCCCCCAGGCAATCACCACATCGCTGTCTCTGTCCATGAGTTTTTTCTCTTTTTTGCTCAATCCCTCCACACACCCCAACCCTCCCACCCCCAAACGTGACAGCTGTCAGCCTGCTCTCTATCTATGAGTCTGTAACTGATATTTTGTTCCCCATTTGGTTATTGATGTTCACATGTCTTCATATTCAGGCAGAATCCTGTAGAAGAGGGCTGAGTGGTAGGATTTATTTTTACTTCTAATTTCAAAGAATACTAAAGATACTTCTAAAATGATCCTTTTAAGTTGCTTTTCTTATTTGTAAAAAGCCAAAAGCAAAAGCGAAAACTATCAGTCTCCCATTTGAAGACCAGAGCTTGCTCTCCTTTGAAGTTACCAATTGTTATCTCTGTGAATGTCAAAACCACTTCGTTTGGCTAATTATCCATCTGTCTCAACACAAAACGGAGGCAGATTAGAAATCCTTTTAAATGCTTCTTTTATTTCATTGGTTGTACATTGGGTGAGTGAACTGAATATTACAACCAAAACATAGAATTGATACAAATTAGACTCCTGTTTACACTGTAAGGTAATGAATGAGGAAATTCTTTAAGTGTTACAGAAAGGTTTAGTAGAAATGTTTACCAGTGGTATGGCTAAAAGAATATTTCGGTGAAGTGCTATTATATCCTGAAAACCAAGAGTGAAATGTAGTTCCCATACAAGTGGTGAGTTCATCTCTTAACTACATTATTTGTTGAATTGCTATCTTCATGTCTTGGATATAGGTGATTTTGTTTTTGTAATTAAACAAAGCATTTAAGATTTATTCATCATATCAGACTTCTGAATATAAACAAACTTTTGGCAAATAATATTTATACAGAAAAATAGTTTTAGATCCTCTCAAATCCCAGAATTATTCTATAAAATTACATTATAAATAAATAAAAAGCAAAATCTGTTGTACATATATTTGTACATCTATGCATTTGCCTTGCCTCCTCCTTATCGTCAATGGCATATTTATGACTCTTTGCATATTATAATCACAATTCTGGAAAATGGATATCATAGTAAAAATACAGTCCTCTATATTTGCTTGGGGATACAGGTGATGTTGTTGATGCTCATTAAAGGGCTGAAAATAGTTGTGTGCTAATGATTTTTAACATCAAAATCATGAAATAAAAGAAAAACAATAAAGACAATGTTACAACAATTAGTCTACAAAAATATTTCAGTGATTCACATAATTTACCTTTAGTAATGGATACTATGTATTCAATGAGTTTAAGTGAATTAACAAAGAAAAAAAGAAAAAAGAAGATAAGTTTGAATGTTTTAGGCAACTTGTAGCATAACTACATTGTTATAGTTGAGAAAATTACAAATATCAATAATACATAAAGATGAAACTACCAAAGAAATACAAGTTAGATACAATACTTTCCCACAAATTAAAACAAATGTAACAATACAAGCACTATGTAAGATTACACTTAGAATGTGATTTTTTATAGGGTTATCAAATCTATGATATAAGATAGTCATTAGACTTTGATCAACATTAATTAAAATGGTGAATTTCTTTTTTTTTCTAAAAAAAATGATATGGTTGGTGCATACAGTTTTCAGAACAGGCTGTGAGGCCAAAATTTAAAATATTTTACATTCAATCTCAAAAGTCAAAATACTTCAATCACTAATATGTTCACAAAAAATGGATGTTTTAAACAATTACACATATTCATTTTAACAGCTGTTTCATTTTTTAAACAATAATTTAAAAACTACGTAGGTACTGTATAGCTATGTGCAACATATAAAATGTGAAATATGAAATATTTGGTACGATAGTGCTTAAAATAAACTTTAAAACAAACCTTCTGAACAAAATTTAATTATATCGCTATTACCTTGAAGAACAACAAAGTATTAAAAAAGTAAACAACATTAAAATATGTTTCATCCATATAGTATATATGTGTATGTGTATATATAATATGTATGTATGTACTTGTATTAAAGTTTTTATACTTTTGAGACATAAAATATGCTTTAAGGTGAAAGAATTAAAAGAACTATTTTTTTTCCATGCTGTAGTCATTTACAACCCTTTAATCCAACTTTTTGAAATGCAGAACAGTAATGGATTTTTTATAAAGTGAAACTACCTACTTTTTGTTTACATAGTAATTTAGATTAAAGTCACAGTCAAATTTTCAGTGACTAAACTCAAACTTACTTAAATTAGAATATTATACAGATCTCCTCACCTACAGCTTCCTTATTTGACTAGGTTTTTAGTTTAGAAGAGTTATTCTGTAACAGGCAAACGGATGGTGAGTTTGAAAGACTAATCCATTAGATTAGACTCTTGACATGGGCCTCTCATTCTTGTCAAGCTGGATGAAGTCTGGCAAAATCTAGGCACTTCTACAAAGTCTCTCTTATAAAACAACTTTAAAAATATACTTGTAAAATAATACCTTCAAGACTTTGTTTGGTGGGGTATGAAGCTCATACCGTGCAAAGTTTCTCTTGCAATCTAGTTAATGTTACTCTAGAATCACATGATTCAATACGGCATCTCCAGGCAAACAAAATACCACACTTTGATGTGTCCCCAGTACTTGTGCTTGAATTTCCATTCAAATTTTAGACCTGCAGGACAGGTATCAGTTTTTTACTTCACTTCTCATCTTTGCTGCAGCATTTGTGTCAAGAAGTGAAACATACCCTTTAATCCAGTGGGAAAATGAAATGACAGTAATTGGAGTTGGAATTGAACCTGCCCTTGGAATAGGTTTTAAACTACTGCTATTTGTTTATTGCTAACTTTGAAATATTCTGAGTCGAAATGAGTAAATTGGTTGGACTTTCTGCATCAGCTATAGTTATGGAGATAAGACAATATTCCTAGGACAGAAACTATGTTTAGAAACCCTTTCAAAGTAAACTTGATCCTTTATGTCTTTAAACATCACAGCTGGTCTCAGGTAGTTAACTATCTTAGGTTGGAATATACTAAGCATACCATATTTAATACTCATATATGATATAGCAGCACTAGCTCCTTAGAGTTGTGGTCTGTCCAGAAGAACTAAATCTTTATTTAGCATGCAGTTTGTGGCAATTCTATTGAGGAGGAAACAGGATAGTATGTACAGTAACAATGTTTAGTTATTCTCAATGCAGATTCTTGGCATTCCATTCCATTTCTGCTGATTATTTCAGAATTATCTGTTAAAGAAAAAGATACGTGCGATTTAGACATTCTTCTGTGAAGGAAAAGAATGAGTTTAAGTTCTACTCTTTGAAAATAGACATTTAAAAATAGGAATTTTCTTCAACTTTTCATTGTTTTGATGCAATTATAGTTTTGCCCAGGGCCCACCCTTCATGGTGAAAATTTTATACTTAAGCACTTCTGCTGTGTGGCCACTGTACCAGTAAATGATGATTCAAATGCACAGTATTTTCTGTAAAACTGTGACAACATATATGTGGACATACAATGTGTTTAGATCCTCATTTCCTTTTTTTCATTTTCATTTCATATCTTTTTATTGTATGCTCATATTATCCTTCAATTAATATTTGCTAAGGTGATCAAGGAATTAGTCTGTACATAAAAAGTTGTTTAGTAAATTTTAAATATTTAAAAATGTATAATCAATTATGCATTATTTATTAACTTACATTTATAATTCAAAGATGTGTTCCCATAAAAAATAACTTTGTTCCCAAGATATAACAACAAGTTTCAAATTCAGGGAATGTTCAAATGTCCCATATTAAAGAGAAAAAGAGATAATATTCCAATAAAGCTGTTATAACATTCTTAATAATCTAAAAGCACAAATACAACTAAACTATCAAATGCAAAAGATGGTCCGTAGAGTTTGATCCTTAAGTTCATTTCCAACTCCATACCCTTGCAAAGGACAGGGAGTTTGCCCTGTGTGACCCAGTCCATAAATGCCAAGCTTAGAAGCGAAACTTTTAACACATTCTAACAAAAACATTTATTCTTTGTGCAATGCCTTGACCAAATTTTGTGCAATGAATAAAGAAAATGTTTGTTTACTAAACAGTCAAGAGTTTTTGTTTAGGAAATAACCAGTAAAACTTAGTTATGGTCAAGGTCAGCTAATATTCTTGCACTCTGGGATCCACTTCTCAATACAAGCCTCATTTCTACAAGTATAATTTTGTGTACCCTCATGTTAGAACTCACACATGTGGATATTTTCACTTTTAGTGGCTGCTCCTGCAGTTTATATAAAAGTTTTAGTATAAACACTCAATTAGTTTCTCCCATGAAGTAAAAGCATCCTTTATTTTATTGGAATGTACAGATGTGCACAGAATTGATAAAAATAGAACTGATTTATATTAAACTAAACTAGAGGCCTGATGCACGAAGATTTATGCAAGAATGGGCCTTCCTTCCCCTGGCTGCCAGCACCGCCTTTGCTCCGGCCCAGAGCCGCCTTTCCACCTTCCCACACTGCCCAGAGGCCTGGAGGTGCTGTGATGGTGCGGAACGCCTGCGTTGTCGCTATGGCGATGGCGCAAGTGTCCTGCCCCACCCCCGGCTGTTTGGCGCCTGCATATGCAAATTAACTTGCCATCTTTGTTGGGTTTCTTTGCATACTAACACCTGACTGGCTGGTGGGCGTCGTAAAGATATGGTCAATTTGCATCTTTCTAGTGTAGATATTTATACTAAATGGAAACTCAGAACTTCAGAAATGATTATTCTTTGTTTTTCTTAAAAATTTCTAGAATTTAAAATTGATTGGGAAAAATAGCATTCCTTGTCTCATATACTGATAGACAAATAAAAACAATAAGATATGATTTATATATAAATATCAGTATTCTTGAATAGTCATTACAAATAGCTAATATTCAAATTCTTCAGGTGGTTATATTACAACCTCACTATTAGATTTAGATTTGATGATTAAATAGGAATTATTCTATTTTATCCCTTAGCTTCAATGATGCCTGTAAGGTTCCCACATAAAAATGTGTGCCTCAGGATATCAAATCATATCCTGTTCTTCTTTCTTCTTTCCTTTTATTTTAGCAAGAGTCTTTCTAAAATAGTGGGGGGAAAATCTTGTGAAGTCTTGAATGGATATGTTTTAGAATATAATCACATTAAGGCTTATTAACTGAAACTAAAATTCCATATAGAATGACATTTCTAACCATTTAGAACAAAAAGTATTCACCAGAGAGTCCAGCAATGAGCAAATGTATCTTACAGATATTAGTGAGAACAATGCTTTGGACCTGTATCTGACAAAGAGACATGTATGGCCACCCACGTTTAATTGAACTGTAAATCAGCCTTGAAGTTAACTGAAAGCATCAACTGGACTCACCCAGACTGCTTTTCCCCTCTGCCCCAGGCTACACACGATCCATTATACAGATGAAGACATAAATAAAAATGACTGCTGCTACTATTGAACTCTCAGCAGTTACTACTGCATCACGTCTTGGCTAGAAAACTCTACCATACCCTGGTCTGTGTCTTTGGCTATCGGGTGGGTTCTATTTGTGATATTAAAAAAAATGAGTCATGCTCCTCGCAGCTGTGAGCATCAAGAAATTCAAGAGCTTTGCTCTTAGAAGATAGGAAAGGTTTGAGTGTTTATTTTGGTGGTAGGATTTTTCTTGAAAATATAACTTGATTATTATTTTTTTTTCTGAGAAATGTATGTAGCTTGTTCACACAGTCTGAGTTAAGTGTACCCTGGGGTGAATTACATTCTGGAAATATAGACAGAACAGGAATCCAGATGAGGAGCAGTTACCAACGAAGTGCCTCTGATGTAACTATTGCCTGTTTGATTTCCACTTCTGATGTTGGAAGACATGACAGACAGGCACCGAGGCCCACTGGGAGGGCAGGACAGTTCCCAGCTGGGGGATACCTCCGGAAGAAAGACAAGAGCCAAGTGTGTATGCCGAGTGGAAGAGTGTGGAGAAGCCATTTTGAGGAAAAGAGAGATCTTCTGTATAGTTTTTAATACGGCTTTTCTTTAGTCAGATTATATTTTTAATTCGCAGCAAAAACATATAATTTAAAATAAAACGAGCAGATCTATTTTGTGTGTTTCCTGTAGTTTCTCCTCAGATATTCCTCCATACTAGTTCTCTATGGACATATAAAACATGTTTTTTACATAAAAACTTCTTCAATTTCCATTGCAATGTTAATGGTCAAAAGGATCAAAAGCTTCAGAAGGTGCCTGAGTATTTGAATGTAGATATAAGAGATAATTCCTAAAAGGACAGGTTTATAAATGGCCCAGGAACATGGGCTACGAGTCTGACATTGACAAACTCAAATTCTGAGCTTGTCCATTTAAAAAAATAAAACGTGTCCTTGATAGTGTGGCTGTTAGTGGTGTCTTTCCTGCCCTGTGCTTGTCAAAGCTGAGGCTGATAGTCAAAGTTCCTTCCTCAACCTCCAGGCACTGTGGCCCATGTTTTCCTGGAAGGGGCACTTGAAAGTTCTCCTGGGGTATGTACAAGTCAGAGAAATAGCCACCATCCGGGGTCCGCTAAGAGTCCCCTCTTTGAAGCATCATTGATGTCTGTTTTAATTTTAATGGACTGCTTTTCCAGGGGTGCTGAGAAATTTTTACCAGAGCCTTAGGAGCCAGGGAAGTGCTGCCAATCTTATTTTGCAGACATGGAAAAGACAGCACCAACAGTTTTAACTGGCTTCCATGATGTACCAAGTGCTTGTACAGGCCAGCATGAGTGTAGAGATGTTAGCTCACTCTGCTTGCTGGCGTGGGAGTCCCCTCCAGGGTGTAGTGACAGTCTGAGATGGGACTAGGGGAAACAGTGATTCCAAAGAGCATGTCTGTACCTCTTACAGTGCCAATGGAGGTGGGTGTTTAGACCTCCCCTGAGAGCTTGGGAATCAAGGAAAGGGTAGACAATAGTGTGGGGCCTAGAGCAAAGGGAGCCCGGAGCACTGATGAGACTGTCTGGAGGAACAAGAGGGAGAGAAATTGCTGAGGGACTTGTCGGGGCTGCTGGGCCACTCCACAGGGCATCCTTGCCTGGGTGGCCGACCACATCCTCTCCCAGGCCTCCTCCAGATGAGTGTTGTAAACGTGTCTGCTCACAGCAGCAGAAGCTCCTACCCAAACATAAGGCTGCTGCTTATGTTAATTTCCATTTATCGCCCTGATGAACTAGTCCCTCAAATAAGTATTATTTTGTATAACAGAACCACGACTAAGAAGGGAGTTGAAGTATTAAATAGGACTAGCCAATCTAATGTGGTAAATCAAAATCTTGAACTGGAAGCATTATTTTCTACTAAAAGGAGGACACACAAAAATGGGAATAGCTGATGCCCACAAAATCGGCGATTCTATTTTTAAAACAAAGGCACATTTGATTTAAATTATGAGTGCTTTCGTAAATCTTCAGTGGACTATCTATTGTAACAAGAGTATCTGTGATGCAAATATGAGTTGGCTGCAATAGTGTCTACTTATCAACAAGCATCTCCTCCAGGTGGTTGGATTTAAGAATCTGATGATTCTGCTTAATTCACATCCATAAATTACTTCCATATGACCCAATGCACACTTAGTCTTATTTTTGTTTACTGAAGACAAAACATGGATGGCTCCAAAGAACATCAAATGGGTTGTTCTCCCATCAAATGTGTTATGAGCAACCATTTAATACTCCCTGCATCCTCAGTGAAGTTCCTACCATTGACTCATAGTGCAATGGCAGTCTAGCTTATTAAAAGAGGGCTGGGTTAGGTAATGCCTAAATCCTAAGCCTCTGGGACCAGGCAGGAAAGGGACATAAGTGAGTGGGTCAGGTAGGGAGTGTGGCAGAGGGAAGGGCCTATGTTTAGAAGGAATGGATAGCATCTACGAAGCTCCAGCCAATTGCTACCTGCAGAAACCCGGGCTCTACATTGCTTGACCTTTCTATTTTACAACTAAAGCTGGAAATTCAGCAACTAATTCATATTATGGGAAACAAGTCTGTGTGGGTCAACTCTCTGGGATGAATGCAGCTCTGAGCTGCTGGTTTGTGTTCTTTCTGAGACTTACTTTCTTGGAGGAGTTTTCCACCAAGCCTGGATTACTAACTTCCTGAGCCAGGCAGCAGCCAAGGTGGTAGGCACCATACAGGGAGGCAGCAGTCACCACTGCTGGGCAGGATCAGGAAAGTAGGTA